TAGAGAGGGAGAGGGGAAGAAAATTAGTACAATAGATCAAAACAAAAACCCCAATACTAGAACCAGAATACAGTAGCACAGACGTTTCTCCTACTTAAAAGTTTCTGTGGCTGGTTTTCCTTTAGAATGTAACCTCTGGAACACTACTCAAATAATACTCTGAAGCCTTCCACTTTAGCCCATTAACAGAATTTCAGAACCAGCCAACTCCAAATAGACAAAAGTCCGAAGAAGAGTGAAATATTCAAAACCAGCAACTAGCCCTACTTCTTAGGAGGCAGAGGGGATCAGCTTCACATGCTTGTTAGATTCAAGGATAAAGAAAAATGTAAAAGCAAACACACTTACAGCAGATAACCTTGCGGATCTCCTCTGAGGCTGTTTTAAAAAGAAAAAAATAGAAAGTTAGAAAAGGACAATTTTTAAAAAGAAAAATTTTGGTGCCAGTCCGCTCCAGACTGTAAGAAATGAAAAGGTTCATTCAGGTAAGTTCAGGCTGAGAGAGTTAGCTAGTTAAGTTGTAGCATAAGGAGTCCTCTGGACTCTACAATCCAAGGCTTTACAGCCCACTGCAGAGGACTAAGAGCCACCCTATAAAAGTAGAGTAGAACTGCTGCTTAGGGTTTTCAAGGCTCTAAGTCTTTATGGGAGCAGAAAGCCTAATCTGTCTCTTGTGGAGTAGCTGGTGGGTTTGAACTGCTCACCTTGTAGTCAGTAGGTTAATGCTTAACCAACTATACTTTCAGGGCTCCATAGACTTTATATGTAACTCTATATAACTCTCCCACAGTTCAAAACTACCAGCCATTTCACAGGCGAAAGATGAGGCCTCTGGTCGTTGTGAGTAGTAACACAGCACACACCCACCACCACCATCCAAAATAGTTAACAAGACTTACTTCATCCTTCACCTTGGTTTTATCTCCCTTAGCATCCCCTTCAGCCTATGAAAAACAAAGTAAATTGTAGCCTCTGAATTATTTTTAATGATTTTCTAAACAAAGACCTAAATTAAAAAAAACTAGAGGGGCTTTTACACTTTTTTTGAGCCATGTGCAAATAATTAAAGTGCTTAGAAAGCTGTATGCTTGCACATTTAACCTTCACAACCATTCGAGTCCAAAGTAAACCCAAATCTCGCAAAAGAGAGCGAGTGTCCAGGTCACAGCCGGTTGGGAGTCTGATCCGCGTCACCCTGGGAAGTGTGGGGTAAAAAAGGCGCGAGGAGCTTGGAGTTAGGGCCGCTTGCACCCGCGCCACCTCACAAGACAGAAGCAACAGCTGCAGATGGTGCAAACAAACCCCCTCCGGAGGCGGAGCCCGAGAGCCGTTGCTATGGCAACCGTCAAGGGCGGGAGAGAGAAGGGCGCGCATCCGGGAGACTCGTGGGCGACAGCGGCGCGCACCGGTACTAGTTCAGGCGCGGGGGCCGTGCGCACCGTGTTCTCCTCCCCGGAGAGGGCGGCGCGCGGATGGAGGCGGGGCCACCGAACATAAGTCCCGCCCCAAGAGGAGCCGGGCCCGCCTTCTAGCGGCGGCGGTTTTTTTTTTTTTTTTTGGCGGCAGCTCGTTCCCCCGCCCGCCGTCTTCCCGCCCTTTCGGGTTTGAATTGCCCGCCCGCGGGGAGAGGAGGGGTCCTCGCGATGGGGGAAGGGGTGCGGGGCGGTCGCGTCGAGCCCGAGGGAAGCGGGATAAACAGCCGCCAACATGGCTCCTCCCGCCGTGGCCGCCGCTCCTCCAATATGGCCTCTGGCGCCCGCGGGCAGCCAAGCCGCGCGGGGTTAGCCCGAGGCCGTCAGCCACCCCCTCGAGCTCCGGCGCTCGACCGCTAACACAGCGCTCCAGCCCAGCGCCGATCCTCGCGCCTCAAAGCTGGAAAAACGGCGGTGGCCGCGGCGGCTTGAAGACCGGGGTTCTGGAGCCACATACCTTTCTCTTGGGCATGGTGGTTTCGGCGGCGGGGCGCAGGCGCTGGACGCGGGGATGCGGCTACGCGCAGGCTTTGGTCGATCCGGGGGTCGTTCTCGCCTCTTCTTCACACTGCTCAGGCTCCGGGGGGTTTATAAAGTTTTTATAGCGCTGGGAGCCCCGGACCGGTTAGAACCGGATTTCACCTCCCGCCGCTGCTCATTGGCTCAGCTGGGGTCACGTGGGCGGGGTTTAAACTCACCTCCTCTGGAGGGAGTGAGGAGGGGGGACTGGGGGGGAAGGAGCGCGAAACGGCAGCGCGCCGAGGGGGTAGGGGCGCAGTGGGGGAGGCGCGCGACAAGGCAATAAATAAGGTGGGGTGCGCCAGTCGGCGGGGCTTGGGGTCCGGCTTCCTCCCAGTGCTAGGTTTTGCAAACTAAGTTCCTTCTACCTTATGCAACCGAGCAACCCACTTCTCCAAGCCATGCAACACTCAAGGCGCATCTCAGCCTGCTCCCGCTGGGGGCCCCAGGAGAGGGTTTGCGAGGCCTGGCCTCCCACCCTACTCCACTGGAGGCTGGAGGGGACGCGCGGTTTGGAGCCACCGGCTGCAGTTCCGAAGGCCGAGGCTGTCGCTGAAGTAGGTAGAGCAGGGAAGGCAGCTTGGCGCACCCGGACGTGCATCCTTCTGAGCTGCCACTCCGAGGAAGCCTTTCGTGTACTTCACCTGGATGGCGGTGCATCTGAGATTGGGGGCGAAGGGGTGTTCAAGGGGAGACTACAAGCAAAGGTGCTTTTCGGGTGCAGTGGGGCAGGTAGGAGCTGTTCTTTCAGCACCCGTTCAGTCACCTCCCCACATGCTTAGGAAGCCCCCCCCACCGCCAATGCGTGGTTTCTTCTGTTCCCCATATTCCCGGACCTCAAGACACCGCCACGGAATGATAGAGTGCGGCCGTCAGGAAGGCCTACCATCTCTTCCCTCACCCTAAGCTCCACCCGTTTTTGAGGCATCCAGCCCAGTTGCCCCCACCCGACTAGGTCACTAAGCCCGGGCGACGCAAACGCAGCTGGCGAAATCTCTCCTTCCAGTCAGTCTGGCCTCACTTGCTCAAAGAAATGGAGGCTGGAGGAAAACGCCCCGGGGATTAGAAAATATGTCGCGGGTAGGGTGTTGCGATGGCAAAGTCTCTTCCAGTGCCCCCGAGTCCAAAGCAAGGGGTCCTGGAGCTTGCCAAGGGCACTTGAGTAAGGAAGGATAAAGACTGCAGCAGCCAAACATGTTCTTCTGTTGCACTTTTAGCTGACAACTTTTACAGCTAAGAAAAATGTAAAATTCTATTTGAGAACCAGAACACAACACGATAAATATCCTCAAATGGTAACTTTAGGATAGAAGGATATTTAAATAGGACCCACCTGGTTTCTTGAGACAAAGGTTGAACACATCATACTAGTAGAGAGCAACTACAGTGAGTTCAAAAATCAAGTATTCTGTAGCCCATGCTCCTGGGCCTCAATGCCTCCTGGGAAGGACAGCTCCTCCCTACCCCACCCTGTGTACCTTTCCAAAATACAGAACTTCAGGCCAGAGAGATACCAGCCCTATTAATCACTTATGCTGTACCCCAATCACGCTAGGGGAAGTCAGGCATAGAAAAGGAGATAGGACTCAACAGCCATGTTCACAGGGCAGATTCCGTTTGCTGCCTCCAGCCCCTCATTCCTGCCTTAATTGTAGGGCTCTGCATTATAGCAGCATAATTCATGCCTCTCTAATTAAGGCTGTCAACAGCCCCATTGTAAATCTGGAAAATGTACAGCACCTGCTCTCTGGGAACCTTGTGCCAGGGATTGGTAATGGGGAGTGCCAGGTGTATGTAGGGGCTTGCCAAAGGGTGCATTGATTGGCTTTTCAATCGTAATGCCTGGCATTTATGCTGGATTATGGGAGCAGGGATGATGGCCAAAGGGTCTCTTACACCAGGTACCCAGGCACATTAAGGGAAGGAGGAAACTGAAGTATAGGAAGGTTAGAGGTCTAAAGACTTAACTAAGGTCTTAACACTGCCTTCAAGATGCCCCTTCTGCCCTAGAGAGAGGTGCTGGGGAAACAGCTTGTACAACGTAAAATGGGATGATTTAAAATTAAGTGGAGTAGCACTGGGTAGGTACTATGGCTAGTGTTTGCTCCAGGGCACCTGCAACAATTGTTTAGGCAGACAGCCCTTAAAGGCATTAATCCTCTCAGCACTCTACACCAAGGTCTGGCAGGAAGAGGTAAGGAAAAGGACACAGCCCTTGACTACTCTCTCCCACTGAGCAGCCTTGGTTCTCACAAGCAGAGGAGGGCCTGGATAAACTGGGACTCTGCCATGCTGAGAATAAATCATCTCAGGGCCTGTTTAGGGGGCTAAGTTAAAAAGTCAAGAGGCCTTGACAGGAGTGGGAATCAGTTTGAGATGGTGAGCAGGGAGACAGGATGAGGTGGGAGAAGTGCAAGTTTCTGTGCTGGTCCTGATGGTGGTAGTGGTCCTCCGGTGCTAGATGAGACTCACAGGGCCTACAGCTCTTCTGTTACCCTCACGGGGGAGTGAAGCCGGGCCCCATGCCCTTCGAGGAGGAGAAAAGCTTGTGTGGGCTGAGACGACAATAGGTAATTGGATTGTAATCACCCGCCTGGCTTCCGCGCCATTGGGGGCGCTGAGCCTTTCAGTGAGCAATCAGTGCTGCGTGGTGGGAGGGGTGGGGATTCAATAGCGAATCCCAGGTGGAGAACCAAGGGAGAGGAACAGCAGATGGGCACATTTTCTTTCTGTCTCTCCCGCCCCTTTCTTCCTTGCCCAACTAACACTGGCTGCCTGTTAGCTATTTACCAGCAGATTCAAGGTGGAGCCAAGTCTTTTGTGAAAGTTGGGTGGAAGGCTGAGATGGATAGGGATAGGCAAGGGGCTAGAGTTTGGGGAACCCTACCCCACATATTTCTGTGTTGTAAGGATGGGGAAGACAAAGAATGTGTTTACAGGAGCTAACAGCGGTGGCAACATAGGAAGCGGAGCAGTTGACGAGTTGGGGGGCCTGCTCCCAAAACCTACTGGTGAACAGAGCTGGGTTTAGTGTATTTGGGGGATGCTTTCACTCTCAAGCTTCCTTAAGGGCCACAGTCGGTCAGCAGACAGGGCCTCAGGGTGGTTCCACCACCAAGTAAGGGAGCACAATTCATCATCAGGAGGGATCTGCCTGAAAAAGAAAGGGGAGTGGGGCCTGGAGGCAGAGGGCAGGGCAGAGTGGCAGGTGGCCAGCCTCACTCAGGCTGATGCAGTGCCCAGACGTGCCAGCCAGTCTGCTCGCTTGAGTTCCAAGGCCTGCAGGAAGCCTTGGACCCGCTCTTCCCTTCTAGCTGAGAGTTTGTGCAAGCATGTCCGTCGGAGCTGGGCATCCCCACTGGCCTGGAGCCCCTCTTGAAGCAGCTGCTTGGTCACTGCAGCCTGGTCCCTCTCCAGCTGCTGCCTCTTCCGTTCCTCTGCATACATGTCTCGGGCCTTCTGCTAAAGAAAAGTGGGGGGGTTGAGGTGGGAGATCATTTTTCGGTGTGGGTGGAATTGGGATGGATGGAGGAGGTGTGGGGTGGGGCACAAGGCGGGCTAAGTGAAGTGGAACCATGGAGTGTTTGTACCAGAGTTGGAAAGGCCTGGGAGGAGGTGTGTGATCTCTGCTGTCCAAGTCGCACAGGTGAGGTAGTGACAGTTCTGGATCCATTTTTTGGGTTTGTTTTGGGTGGGGAACACCTGCATTTCTTGAAATTCTTCTCAGCCTTTCAATTATAAGGGAACAGATAAACACGGGTCCAAGTTCTGGCTCCCTTAACCAACAGCCGTGCGGCTTTGGGCAAATCCTTTCCTAACCTTATTTCTGCATTTGTAAGGTGGGAGTTGTGCCTATCTTGAAGTGTGGTTTTAAGTATTAGAGATAGTGTATGCAAAATCTTCTATGCATATTAGTAGGCTTTCTAACAGAAACAGCAATTTTACAAGTTATTATTGTCTATTCTCTGCTGCAAGGAAGATCCTATCCCTATCTGGGGCACATTCTTCCCAGGGTCTCCTAGGTCACTCCAAGGATGCATCCTCTAGCTCTCTAATCTGTTCTTCAGAGACCGACTCTGACTTGCCTCTTATCTGGGGACACATTTGACTCTTCCAGCAAATGACACTCCTATGAACACTGATATGCAGATTCAGATTCATTACATGACTTAATTGCATCTGCCTTCTAGAATAGGAGCTACTGTCCGTTGTCTGATTTTTGTTAGAAAACATGTTCTTGTGGACTTGAGTGAGCCTCCTGGAATCTGCTCTAACACTAGGTAGGTGGTTTCCCTGACAGCCTTCTCACACTGTGTGTGCCTGACTCTAGGCAAAGCAGGAACCCTTAAAGGGCAGAGACAGTGCCTCCTTCTCTCTGGCACTCAGGGCACCCTGTACAAGTGAAATACTCAATTGACTGACCATGCAATCCCAGGAGGACAGGGAGGATACTCATGGCAAAAGGGAAAGGAAAATCCCTCTGGAATAGGACCAAGGCCTTGTCCTACCTCATGGCTGTTCTCTGCTCCTGCCGGTCTAACCAGTCCACAGAGCCTCTGTATCAGAGCTCCTTCTGCCACACCTAGCCCATAGGTAAGAAACTCTAAGTTCTACTTCCTACTTGGCATTCTGCATGTCTATATTCATCCTTTAAAGGCATGTGAGGCCGGGACAGGAAGGGACTTGGCCTATGTTATACAGCTGGTTGAAATTCTCTTGGTTTTTCCAGTAAGCTGACGAGAGGGCTACAGGAAATATATCTTCTACCTATAGAGAAGCCAGGTTTTCCCTAAGGCTGGAGTGGGGAAGCTAGAGACCTGCATCTGGACATGGTTTGGGTATACCCTCCCAATCTCAGGTTTTTGTTAAATGCCATCAAGTCAGTTCTGACTCACAGTGACTCTGCAGAGGGTTTCCAAGGAGTGGCTGGTGGATGTGAACAGGCAATCTTATGGTTAGCAGTCCAGTGCTTATCCTACAGTGTCATACCAGGACTTGTCAGGTACTCATCCTTAGAAAACTCCAATTAACAAGAATCCTAATGGACACTTTCTGGCTCCCAGATCCTATTTTCTATATTGTCAGTATAATGATCTATTGGGTACATGAGAGTGTTCTTCAGTCTTTTAGACCTTCTACAGTCTTTTGTGAAGACTCCATGCAGCACCCTTTGAGAAATATGGCTCTGAGCTATTCATCTACCTTCCTCCTGGGCATTTAAGCCTCTCTGCTCTTGTTCTCTCCTCAGGAAAGTCGGAGAACAACATATACTAGCGCCCCCAATACTTAAATTCTCCAGTCCTCCACCACTTTCCTGGGCCTGGAGAGAAACTTCAGGTCCTTAGCTTTGAAGTACCCATTACGCAATGAAAAGCCCTCACTTAGGTCCCCATTTCCCACAACTGGCATACCCCGATAGGTACCACTGGGGGAGAAGGGTATTTCTGAGGGCTGTCCTGAGACAGAGACAACACCTCCTATTGGAAGCATGTCTTAAAGCATCCCCAGAGTATCCCTGCTGGGGAAGTGGACTGGGGATAGGATGAGCAGGGTGCTACACATAAGTGACTATTCTAGAGATAGAAGTCAGGCAAAGGGCCTAGAGACACACATACATACTGGCCAACAGTCTCTGAACTGCACTTTGTTCTAGGCACTACATTCAGCTATTTTTATGTGTTTGCTTACTGAAGCCTCATCACAAACCTGTGAGGTAGTATTATTGCTTTAATTACTCTCATTTTACAGATGAAGAAACCAGTTACAGTTAGTAGGCAGTAGTAATGCGTCAGACTACAAAATCGTTTGAACTGCAAGGTCAGTGGTTCAAGCTCACCAGCTGTTCCTTGGTGAGCTAACAGCTCAACAGCTTAAGCTTTTAACTCATATGAGGAGAAGACAATGACTAGCTGAAGAACACTAGAAATAAAATGGTCAAGCCAACCTGGTATTTAATCTCTGCAAATGTATCAAAGGAAGTCTAGTGGGAACATGTGTTTCCTCCCTCTATAATCTCATACTCACAGATTACTAGATGAACTAAACACTTTTTACTCATCTGTCAATAAGCCCTCATGCATCTATCAGCTATGCAACTTGTAGCTGAAGATAAATTGTGCTACAGTGCCACCCACCCCACCCTTCCTCTATCAGTCCTCTGCTTCCCTGCTGACAAATCCCACTGCATCATAGTCAAGGTCTCCTCCCTTTTGCTAGCTCCCATTCCCTACCCTGGAGTCCTGGTTTGGTGCTGTGTGTTAATGAGCTGGACTGCAAAGTCAGTTTGAACTACAAGGTCGGCGGTTCACCAGCTGTGAACACCGCTTGTGATGGAGTCCCAGCTCCCTTTAGCCTTTATCAGCTGCCCCCATCCCAGTAAACTACTCTAGGCCCAGAGCATGGCTCCCTCCCCTCTGTTCTGGCTCCTACTCAAAGTGACCTTGTCTAGGGTTTCCAAGGATCAGCTGGTGGGTTTAAGCGGTTAGCAGCCTAGGACCACACCACACTCACTCTAAAAATGAGGGCCGTGATAGGACTGTCTACCCTACTTGTTGTTCTGTTAAGTGCTGTCAAGTTGATTTAGACTCTTAGGGACCCTCTATAGGGCTTCCAAGAAGCAGCTGGTGGGTCTGAACCACCAACCTTGTGATTTGCAGTCCAGTGCTGATAGTACAGCACCACACCAGAAATCTACAATATAGGACTATACAAAACTAATGCAAAGGATCCCTGATACATACTAAAAACCTAATAAAGGTTTGTAATTATGCTTAATAAGAATAAAATGGACTGCTTAATAGTATTCCTCAAACACACCCCATCCCAGCAAACAGCAGAGGCATTAACTCAACTGGCTGGGCAAAACCTAGATGTCTTGGTTTCTTGCTTTATATAACGTAAGAATTTCAAAAGTACTTTACCAGCACTACCACTAACAATGAACAATGCTTACGCTTGATTGCAGTCTGTATTATCTTTAGAAAGGGAGCTCTGGTAGCATAGTGGTTATGAGTTGTACTGCTAACCTCAAGGTCAGCAGTTTGAAACTACCAGCTGTTCAATGAGAGAAAGATGAGGCTTTCTGCTCCTGTAAAGACTTACAGCCTTGGAAACCCTGTGCAGGGTCGCTATGACTTGGAACTGACTCCACGACACACCACCACCACCACCAATCTTTACAGATGCAGATTACCAGGACTTTCTTGTACAAAGCCTCAGGGTATATCTGAACTGACTTTTAGGTCAGTCATCCGGTGCAAAGTGTCTGAGTCACACCAGGACCTTTCCCCTTCTGGTACACTGGCCCCTTTTTGTTCTTCCAATCTTCCAAGACACATACTTTACAATTTCAGTATTCTTGCTGCCCCCTTGGTAGAGAGTAATTCTTTTCTCAGATTTTAGCATGTCTGGCTGTTTCTCTCCTGTCATTTCATGGCTTACAGCTTTTCTTGACTGCTCTTTATCCCTAGCTCCCTTCACTACTTTCTAGCACATCGCCCTGTGTATTCTTATTCTACTCCAATTTAAGATTATCTTATGAATTTATTATGTCTTGTGGTGGATTGGTAGGATAAACACTGGACTGCAAACCCAAAGGTTGGTGGTTCAAAACCAACAGCCATTTCCTGGGAGAAAGATGAGGTTTCTGCTCCTGAAAACATTTATGGCCTTGGAAACTCTATGCGGGGCTGCTATGAGTCATAACCAACTCCAAAGCACTTAACAACAACAACAAACAATATAAGCTTCATGAAGACAGGGATCTTGTCTGGTTGATTAACTGCTGAATCTCCTATGCCTAATACAGTGCCTGACTCATAGTAGGTACTTAACAGACATTTATTTGATGAATGAAACATGAGGTAACGCTCAGCAAAGTGGCAGAGTACAAGATCAACATACAAAAATCACTAATCAAGTGATGTTTACATTAATAAAGACAGTTCTGAAAAGGAAATTAGGTAAACACAGCATTTACAATAGCCACATAAAAGATAAAATACTTAGGAATAAAGCTAACCAGCAAAACAAAAGACCTATACAAAGAAAACTATAAAACTCTACTACAAGAAACCAAAAAAGACTTACAAAAAAATGGAAGAATATACCATGCTCATGGATAGAAAGACTTGTTTTTAACATTATGAAGATGTCAACGCTAGACAGAGAAATCTATAAATCTAATGCAATCCCAATCAACATTCCAATATCATTCTTTAAAGAGACAGAAAAAATGATCACTAATTTTATATGGAAAAGAAAGACACCTAGGGTAAGCAAAGCATGACTTAAGAAGAACAAATTTGGAGGCCTCTCACTCCCTGATGTTAAAATTTACTATAAAGCCCTAGTGGTCAAAACAGCCTGGTACTGGTACAGAAAAAGATACATAGATCAATGGAACAGAATTGAAAACCTAGAAGTAAATTCATCCACATACAGTCTGCTGATCTTTGGCAAAGGGCCAGGAGGAGACCTCTCACTCCCTGATTTCAAAATTTACTACACAGCCACAGTGGTCAAAACAGCCTGGTACGGGCCCAGTGAAAGATAAAGAGATCAATGAAATAGAATTGAGAACTCAGAGGTAAATCCATTCACACACAGTCAGCTGATCTTTGACAAAGGGCCAAAACACATTAAATGGAGAAGAGGTAGTCTCCAACAAATCGTTGTGGCAAAACTGGAAATCCATTTGTAAGAGAATGACACAAGTCCCATATCTCACACCATACACAAAAACAAAAACAAAAAGACCTAAATGTAAAACCTAAAACTATCCAGATCACCAGTGAAACAGTAGGGACAAATGTAAGGGTCTCTAATACATAGTACAAATACTAGTGTATTACTGAAAACACACACACAGCAAGAGACAAAACAGGTGACTGAGACCTCCTAAAAATTAGACACTTATGTGCATCAAAATATTTTGCATAACGAGTAAAAAGGGAGCCCACAGACTGGAGAAAAATTTTTTGCAACAAGGTAACAAAGGACTAATCTCAAAAATTTATAGAAAACTATACACCTCTCTACCAACCCAATGAAAAATGGGCAGAGGACATGAACAGACACTTCACCAAAAAAGACATTCAGGCAGCCAACAAATATATGAGGAAATATTTATGATCATTAGCCATTATTGTTGTTGTTAAGTGCCATTGAGTCAGTTCTGATCCATAGCAACCCTGTGTAGGGTTTCCAAGGAGTGGCTGGTGAACTTGAACCACCCATCTTGCAGTTCAAACCGACCTTATAGTCCCCAGAGCATTAACCCACAGCACCAAGAGATGCAAATCAAAACAATGAGCTATCATCTCACACAAGCATTGATAGCAAAGTTTAAAATACAATAAATAACAAATTCTGGTGAGGGTGTAGAGAGACCAGGAACCCTCCTACATTGCTGGTCAGACTTTAAAATGGTTCAACCATTGTGGGAAATGATGTGGCACTTCCTCAGAAAGTTGGAAATAAAAATACCGTACAGCCCAGCAATCTCTGCTTGGTATATATTCACAAGAAATAAGAGCCAAGACATTAGTAGATACATGCACGTTGATGTTCACTGCAGCACTATTCACAATTGCAAAAAGATGGGAACAGCCTAAATGCCCATCAATGGAAGAGTTGACAAACTTTGGTACATACACACAATGGAATACTATGCAACATTGAAGAATAATGATGAATCTGCAAAACACCTCAGAACATGAATAAACCTGGAGGATATTATGCAGAGTGAAATTAGTAAATCAAAAAGGACAAATACTGTATGAGACCACTATTATACAATCTCAATAAAAAGTTTTCATAATAAAAGAAACATTCTTTGATGGTTACCAGAGTTGGGAGGGAAAGGAACGTAATTCACTGGCTAGAGGGTAGACACATGTTAATTCGGGTGACAGGGAAGGCAATATACTAGAAGAGGAAGGTTGGAAAAAGAATAATGAAGATAAGTGAAGACACAGAGAGGTATGCAAGGGCTAAAGGGGATAGATGTAAACAGTGATATACAGACAACCTTGGAACAACAGCAATCTGTGTGTAGATACATGGACAAGAGACATAGCTGAAAGGGTATGGGAGAAATAGTGGGATATGTATATATGTATATATGTATATATATATCCCACAAATATATTAGTAACCACAAGGAGAAATGGGACAATTGTTGCATGGAGGGGATTGTAATCATTGAGATGAAACAAACCATATGATTTATAGCCTGTTAAACTGATGATCTTGTTTGTAAACCATCACTCAATTCACAATAAAAAAATAAATTAAAAAAAAAATGCAGCATACTCCCACGGACTTCATGTAAAGGTAATTTACTCTCATTTTATAATAATTCTAACAAGCCTGATTAGCTGGTTTCTTGCCTATAGGTGATGAAAAGCAGTACATTGGAAAAGAAAGGAAAGAGAAAAGGGGGCATGCTGTCAAAATTAGCAGTTGATAGTAGTAGGAAATGGCAGAAAAATAAACAAGTAATACAAAGCCAAGTATTTTGGGACCATCTATCTTAAGGCCAACAGCCTTACTCTTCAAGGGCCTCTGTGTACAGTGAAGTGCTTAAGATGCCGTTACTATTATTACTATCATCATCATTAAAATGATTAGCAAATGTCTGGTTTACAGTAGGTGTCCATGAATTAAGTACAAGGCACAATTCAGAAAGTGTCCCACCAAAAAAGGATTTGATAAAGTTCTGGTTCTTGAAGCTTGGTCATAGGTAGAAATATGTAACATTTATTCTCATTGACAGTGGATAATCAAGGTTCTACTGTTAATCCTTGCACTTGTTGTAAAGTCACCTCTTTCAGTGTCCTTATATTCTGAGATCAAATGATCAAGGAATGATTAAAACTTCATGACTGACTTAGACCAGGAGTTATGTACTTGGGATTCATGGCAGACAACACGGGTTATGTGAACCCACAGAAAACATTCTACATGTTTGAGTGATAAGTGCAATCTTATTGCAAGGTGTCATGTGTTTGGGTGAATGCACTGTTTTTCTAGGAAGAGAGTCTATAGTTTTCATCAGATTTTCCAAGACTTACTCTCTCCACTCATTAATTCCTTATATGGGGAATGAGGTCACCAAATCTTCTAGCTTGTTGAAAGGCTTAACAGAAAACTTACATGAAAGCAACCAAGTGCCTGAGTTGACCTGCAATATGTACCACCAACTATACAGATGTACAATATGCTGTACAATATGTACACCACCACTGTTATAAAGAGTGTTAACCAGACACAGGTGACTCTGCCTTCTAATCAAACTGCCTAAGATTTGGTGATCAAAATTGAAAGCAGAACTTAATACAGCATAGTTATACAGTTCCCAATGCCTTCTGGAAAAGGCTTGCCTTCTGTATATTTCCACTGCTATAATCTTTCATTAAGCTAACATTTCCAGGGAATAATGACCAATCTCTCTGGTAAGCCTTTTCTGGATCTAAAGAGTTGTAGCCTGAACCCTAATTTTGTCTCTTATTGGTTATGTATCCTTGGCAAAATCATTGCTATTTACCCATTGCAAAGAGGGAAGAAATGAATAATACCTACTTGATTGGGTTAACGAGAGGATTAAATGAGCTAACGCACATAAAACGTTAACATTGTTTGACACTGTAAATACTGAGAGTAAGTGGTAGATAACTCTCATCACTATCAGCCGCATATTTACCAAGTGCCTGGTATATGTTGTTAAGTACTGTTGAGTCGGTTCCGACTCACAGCAACCCTGTTAAAGGTTTCCGAGGAGAAGGTGGTGGGTTTGAACTGCCAACCTTGTAGTTAGAAGTCCAGTGCTGATCCTACAGTGCCACAGCAGTAGTCCAGCACCACACCTGGTTATTATGGTGGTGCTGATGGTGATGTGCCATGCATCAGTTCCAACTCATAGCAACCCTGTAGTACAAGGTTTCCAAGGCTGTAAATCTTTACGGGAGCAGAAAGCCTCATCTTTCTCCCTCGGCTGGTAGTTTCCAACTGCTGACCATGAGGATAACAGACCAACTTGTAACCACTTAATCAATGCTAACTTTTTCTTCCATCCCCACCCAGTCAAGCCAGTCCTGAATGCTTACCTGAAGCACACTGTGGTTCATCTGGAACTGCAGGATGGCCTCACAGAAGTTCCAAAATGTGTATTCTGGCCATAGAACTGGCTGGAACACTAGGCAGGAGTGGGAGGTCTGGGAAAGACAGGGAAGGAAGAGAGAGTATGGCTTACTTTCATATTCCTGCTATTCATCCCTGGCCAGGCCTCCAAAGAAGGAACAGGCAGAGCAGGACCCAGAAGCCCAGAGATGAAACAGCACAGGCATCCAGAGCTACTGCCACCACCATTGATTTATTCACTGATAGGGGGAAGGGTCATATGAGGCACTTAGATCAGCTGCCTCCAGCAAAGCAGAAATAAAACGAGACCAGATTAACATTTCCACCAGGATTTTCCTAAGAGCCAATTTTAGGACTATGAAATAACATCTGGATTATGTTATTGGCTCCTGGCCCTGAGAGGTCATCTGGGAGACACACTGATAAGTCAGCAATGAACAAATGGTAGCTACCATTGTTATTTTTAAGTAGTAGCAATATGGCACAGTGGTTAACAGGAGCCAAGCTGCCTAGCTTTGAATTCTGGCCCCACCATTTACTGCCTACGTAACCTCAGGTAAGTTACTTAACCTCTCTTGGACTTGGTTTTCTCAACTGTACAATTGAGAAATAAGACCTAGTTTTTAGGGTATTATGAAGATTAAATGAGATCATGTACACTAAGAAGTCAGGGCCCAGAGCTAGGTAAACTATAGTAATAATCACTGATTTAAGAATCTCTTTTGGTGCATTCTTGACAGCCACTGCCTAATACCTTCCATGGTAGAGAATTCAATTCCTCACAGGATGGAGGATAACTAGCTATTGGATTATATGTTATACTAAATCACCGCTACCTTCCCTGAATTTATACCAGGGCCCCACATCTGTTCTCCAGAACAAGTTTGTGTCTTCTTCAAAGTGACATTCTTGTATATATTTGAAGGCTGCATTAGAGCTGCTTGCTATCTGCTTCTCACATTGTAGCGAGTTGTTCAGAGTTTGTCTTTGCCATCAAGCTACGTTTCAAGACAGTAGAGATCATTTCTGACTGGGTCACTGCTACATTCCTAGCACAGAAGCGTTGTCATCATGCTTTCCCTTCTCAAAGCCACTATCGTTCATTCATTCCTTATAGGACATGAGTTTCAGATTCCTTGCTAGCCAGGTTGGCATCTTCCATAAGTCCTCTAGCTTACCAATGTAGTCTCTTAAAGTTTATGCTCAGAAGTAACCTTTCCAGATGTGATCTGAGGAGCAGGATGAGCCACAGAATCATTATCTGAACATTATGCTATTTTCAATATAGCCAAAGACTGAAAGGATCTTCAGTAGTTAAAGATAGTTAGTTAAATTTTGAGACTATGGTCCACTAAAAATTTTGGAGTTTTATCACATTGAGTAGTTTTCAAACTGGATCTGTCTCCAACCTCTCCTCCTTTTGTTTTGTGTCTTAAACACTCCTTGAGCATGAACTTCCCTCATTCATGTTCTACCCAAGGGGTCAAGTAAATAGGGGATAAAGATTTTCAAATAAAAACCAAACATATTTGGGGATATGAGCTTTTTGAGGACTATCTACCCTAGGGTAACTGTATTCCATATCTAGGAATACTTCTTATATCCCTCAAGGGCTGTGTTTTCATTGACATGGAAGAGGAGAGAGAGCCTGCCCAGAGGTGCTGGTATATACCTGACAGGTTAGCAAGGCAGATGCTCAGTTCCCTAAACAGGGGCACAAGTGAATTTCCACAGCAGGTGGAAGGCCTGAATTCCTTGCACCCTGGACAGGAAGAACTATACAGATTCACAAAACTAGGGACAGAAAAGGAAGGGCTGACAAAGGCTGCCAGGCATAGCCTGGAGGTTCCTCTCCAGATTTAAAATTTTCCCCCAAGATTCCTTGTCCCAGCATGACTGGGAATAGGGCAGCACAAGCTACTCTGAATCCATTCTGCGGGCACAGTCACTGTTTTTAGGCTGTCTTGGATGGAATGGTAGTTAGCAACTACATACCTGCCACAGCAAGAAGTCGCTTAGCCTCACTTCCCCAGAAGTCCGTATCAAGATGTCTGGATGAGGAGAGTGGTTGGTATAGAGGCACTTATCGATCAGGGACTCAGAGATATCACTAAGGTGCATATGGAGACAAAGACAAGCACACACATCTCTCTCTGTATTATTTTCATGGGGAACCCTCGAATTTATAAAACACAATACATTAACCAATATTATCTGGTACACAAAAGGACCTCAACAAATGTTTGATAAATTAACAAATTATTTTAATCCTCACAACTACATAGGGTATTTCTATATTTTATAGAAAAGGAAACTGAGGTTCAGAGAGGATAAATAATATGCCCAAAGTCATTTAGCTGCAGGTCTAAAACCAGGTGCATCTGTTATAATATTGCCTTGTCCTTCACTTAAAACACCTTGTTTTTTTTAAATGCACATCCCCTGAGACACAGGAATTTGATGAATTACTATGCAACTGTGTTTTGTTTTGTTTTTTAATAAAGGTAAATCTAAGTGCACTAATTTGGAAAAGAAGTCTAAGATCCAGTGTTAAATGAATAAAGCAAGTTTCAGAAAATACAGTGGTATAACTTTGTTAGGGAAAAATAAACGCACACTTACTCAAACAAATATGAGCATAATATATATTTGTTTTATTGTGAAGTGCCGTAGAGTCAGTTCCGACTCATAGCAACCCAGTATAGGGTTTCCACGGAGTGGCTGGTAAGTTTGAACAACTACTGACCTTGTGGTTCAAACCGACCTGTGGTCCTGCACTTATCCTACAGCCCACTACTCCAGGATTTCATATATATAAATATATATATATATGTATAGAGAGAGAGCAAGCAAGCGAGTGTGTCCTGGTGTGACACTGTAGAATATATATATATATATATATGATGTTGTTAAGGAGCTCTGGTAGCATTGTTGTTGCAAGCGAGTGTGTCCTGGTGTGACACTGTAGGATAATATATATATATATATGATGTTGTTAAGGAGCTCTGGTAGCATAGTGGTTACAAATTGGGCTGTGAACTGCAAGGTCAGCAGTTCTAAACTACCAGCTGTTCTGTGGGAGAAAGATGAGGCTTTCTGTTCCCGTAAAGATTTACAGCCTTGGAAACCCTGTGCAGGGTCACTATAAGTCAGAATCGACTCCACAGTACTTAACAACAACAACAAATGTTGTTAGGTGCTGTTGAGTTGGTTCCAACCTGTATACGGTTTCTGAGGAGCAGCTGGTGGATCTGAACTACTAATCTTGTAGTTCACAGTACAGTGCTGATCCCACAGTGCTACACCAGGATTCCATATATATATGTAAAAACAAGACAAACAAATGGTCAAAAAAACACATGAAGAGATGCTCAACATCATTAGTCATTAATAACTGGTGTTATTAAGTACCATGGAGTAGGTTCCAACTCATAGTGATCCACTATAGGGTTTCCTAAGAGTGGCTGGTGGGTTTGAACTGCTGACCTTGCATTAGCAACTCAGTGCTTATCCTATAGTACCATATCAGGACTCCTCACAGACACACACAAAAACAGAAAATAACGAGTCTTGTAGAAGTGGTAAAGTTGGAACCCATGTGCGTTGTTAGTGGGAATGTACACTAATACCATGTGTGGAAACCAAGGTAAAAACAACCCAAATGCCTATCAAAGGATAAATAAACAAAATGTCATATATACACACAATGAAATATGATGTGCCCAATAAAAAGAAAGGGACTTCTGATACATGTTACAACATTGATGAGCCTTCAAGACATTGTTGTTAAGTGCTGTCAAGTTGGTTCCAACTCAGAGACACTGTATAGGGTTCTCAAGAAGCACCTGGTGGGTTTGAACAGCTGACCTTGTGGTTTGAAGTCCAGTGCTGATCATGCAGAACCACACCAGGAGTCCTTGAAGACATTGTGCTACATGAAATAAGTCAGACACTAAAGGACAGATATTTTATGATTCCACTTGTGTGTAGTATTTAGAACTGGAAAATTCATAGAGAGAGAAAGTAGCATAAAAGTTACCAGGCCCAAGGAGAGGAGGGTAATGGAAAATTATTGGTTAATGCATACAGAATTCCTGTTTGGAATGATAAAAAAGATCTGGAAATACAGCAGTGATGGTTACACAATATTGTAAATGTACTAATGCCACTAAGTTGTATAATTAAAAATTGTTAAAATAATAAATTTTATGTTGTGTATATTTTACCACATACACACAAAAAAATGAGATAGTTTCATAAGCCACTGGAAGACTATAATCAAAACAACAGACAATATTAAGTGCTTACGAGGTTATAAAGTAACAGAAATTCTAATACAGGGGGCTTCAAAAAGTTCATGGAACTGAAAAATAATGGAATTTTTCCTTGAACTTTTTGAAGTCCCCTCATATGCATGCACTGTTGATGGGAATGTTAAATGATGTCACTTTGGAAGTTTCTCAAAAAGTTAAACATAAATTTACCATGTTGCTGCTGCTGTTGTTAAGTGCCAACCTGTATAGGGTTTCTAATGAGCAGCTGGTGGGTTTGAACTATTGACCTTGTGGTTTGCAGTCCAGTGCTGATCCACAGCACCATACCAGAAGTCCAAGTTTACCATATAATCCATCACTTCCGCTCTTAGATATTTACCCAAGAAAAATGAGAACATATGAAGGGCTTCAAAAAATTTCATGAAGGAATGGAATTAAAAGATAATGAAATTTTCCATGAAATTTTTGAAGTTCCATTGTACGTCCACATAAAGACTGTGCACAAACTCTCAGAGCAGCATTAATGACAACAGCTAAAAAGTGGAAACAGTCAAATGTCCATCAACTGATGAATGTTTAAATATGTCATATGCATATAATGGAGTACTGTTTGAAAATAAAAAAGAAGTTCCAATACATGCTCTGACATGGTGGAATACTATGATAAGTGAAAGAACATTAGTATGATTCCATTTGCATGAAGGCAAATCTAAGGAACAGAAATAGAATAGTGGTTGTCCATGGCTGGAAAAATGGAGCTCTGGTTGAATAGTGGTTATGAGTGGGGCTGCAGTTCGAAATTACCAGCTGTTCTGGGAGAAAGTTGAGGCTTTCTGATCCCGTAAAGATTTACAGCCTCAAAAACCCTGGGCAGGGTCACTATGAGTCGGAACCAACTCCACAGCACACAACCACCACCACTACTATGGTTGGTAGAAGGGGAGAATGGGAGTAACTCCAAACAGGCACAAAGGATCTACTGGGGTGATAGAAATGTTCTAAAATTGGGTTTTGATGATAGTTGCACAATTATGTAAATTTACTAAAAACACTTGAATTGTTGTTGATGTTAGGTGCCACTAAGTCAGCACCAACTCACAGTGACCCTATGTACAACAGAAAGTCTGGCCATCTTGGCTTCCAAGGAGCACTCTGGCTGTACTTCTTCTAACAGATTGGTTTGTTTTTTTGGCAGTCCATTGTACTTTTAATATTCTCCTCCAACACCACAATTCAAATGCCTCAATCCTTCTACAGTTTTCCATATTCGCTGTTCAACTTTCACATGTATATGAGGTTTCACATAGAGTACAGACTCTGGAACCTAAAAAACCACTCATCAGATTCTATAGGCATGGTAGAACTGCCCATAGGGTTTCCAAGGCTGTAATCTTCACAGAAGCAGACTGCCACCCTTTTCCATTGAAGTGAATGGTGGGTTCAAACCACCAACCTTTCAGTTAAAAAGCTGTGTTAACCATCAAGTCACCAAGGATCCTCCAGACTCTGGAAGTAGGTTAAAATCTTGATCCCAAGCTTTGTCAAATTAGTTATGTACACTTGGACAAATTAGCTAACCTTTCTGCATCTCAGTATTCTCATTTGCAAAACTGAGATATCTATCTCATAAATTCTAAGGATTAAATGAAATAATGTATGTAAAGTACTTAGCAAATGCCTGGTGTTATAGATTGAATCATGTCCCACCAAAATATGTGTTGGAATCCTAACCCATATATGTAGGTAGGGAGCTCTGGTGGCACAGTGGTTAAGCACTCATCTACTAACCAAAAGGTCAGTAGTTTGCAACTACCACAGCAAACAGAAGCAGCAATTCTACTGTCTTATAAGGGTTGCTACAAGTTGGAACCTACTAGAGGACAAGAGGTGTGGTTTTCTTAAGTATAGGGATGTAATCTCATCTAGGGACAAGGTTTTCTTTGTTATGTTAAATTATATCAATGTGAGATGTGCTTTAAACCAATCATTTTTGAGATATAAAAGGAGCAAGTAAGGCACAAAAGTGAACTAGAGCTCTCCAAGGTACACCAAGATTACCAGAAAAGCTGACACAAGAATTGTTTCTAGAGCAGACAGACAGTGCCCTCCCCTAGAGCTGGCTCCTGAAATTTGAACTTCTACTCTCCTAAAATGTGACAAAATAAAGTTCTGTTCATTAAAGCCACACACTTGTAGCATTTCTAAGCAAAAAGGACACTTAGGCACATGGTATTGAGTAAATGTTCAGTAAATACTAGCAATTAGTAGTAGCACTTATAAACAATTAGAAGCCAACAGGGCTCCAATGACCTGCTCAAAGTAACTCAGCTATTATTGTTGTAGTTGTAAGTGCTGTCAAATTGGTTTTGACTCATAGGGACCCTGTATAGGGTTTCCGAAGAGTGGCTGATGGGTTTGAATGGCCAGCAATCCAGTGCTGATTCTACAGCACCACAACCAAACTCAGCCACTCATATCGACCCTGTACGAGGTTTACAAAGAATGTCTAGTGGGTTTGAACCACCAACCTTGCGGTTTTCCTCTAGTACTTATCCTATAGCACCTCACCAGGACTCCAAAGTCAGGTTTGTTGTTGTTGTTAAATGTCATCAAGTTGGTTCTGACTCATAGCGACCCTGTATAGGGTTTCCGAGGAGCAGCTGGTGGGTTTGGACTGCTGACCTTTTGGTCTGCAGTCCAGTGTTGATCCCACAGTGTGATACCAGGAGTCCAATAAAATTTATTAAATATCCTTTAAGCTCAACCTGTTTTCTTCTATAATTACAGTTACAAAATAATCTATCAATTTAACTGACAGAAAAATTTATACCCTGGG